AATAGTCATTCCCTCATACTTCTGACCCTGGTGTGTGTACGTGGTTAGTCTTTTCAATTTTACTGAGTTCTCATAGTCAAAAAAAGGTGTTTTGATTTTCATGATTAATTTAAAACTGACCATATGATCTATTGCACTTACTAATATTTTTGAGAGCTTTTGAAAGATCATCTTGGAGATACTAGTATTGTTACACCAGGGGTATTGGAGAATAACAGTGCTACATATTGCAAAAGGCAAGGAGCTCCTTTCTGGTGGCTTGCTACTGCCTCCTAGTGGTTAGTCTGTGCATTTTCTTTATTTTAAGCAATCTCAAATTATTGTAATGGTTTGTCTTCAAAACTGATGTGTATTGCATGGTGCTCTTGAGTACCTTTTGGTACTTCTATTTTTCTTTGTTTTGTTGGCCATTTCTTACATTGATACATAAAAATTGTATCAAACTAACTCAGCATTTTCTGTGTTCACTAATACTACACCCTTGATTCTGACATTCTTAACTATGGAAAAACACCGAACATTCTAGTCAGGTATAGCAGTTCAACCTCATCGCAGGGGCTGCGCTAAGTCCCAAGTTACAGAAAGAACAATGATTGCAGTGTTCTGCTAGTGTAATTTTAGTCCGTGCCTTACATCTGGGTTGATAGGCATTTTATGGTATAAACCTTGTAAATTTAGGATATTATTTTCCTATTGGATACACTTGAGAATTAATTCAGAAAGCGTTGATTTAGAATAGGTTGGAGATGACTAACTTGCTCAAACCTGCCGTACCCTCAGGCCCGTTGCAGGCATTATTTCAGTGTTTGGGTTCAGGCGGCGTTACCTTCCTTCCAGGCCACGCTTCTGTCCATGGTCAGCATGCCAAGGAACGAGTCCTTACGTCTCCCGGGCACTTGTTCTGTGTTCCCAGCTTCGGAGAGTGAGCACCTTGGTTCTTTGTTCTTCTGCGGTCCTGAGAGTCTACTGCCTCTTTTTTTCTTTTTCCTTTTCCTTTTAAGTACAACCTTGAAGGGTTTTCCATCATGCCCTCCCTGGTCTCCTTACTAGCCCACCTGTTTCTCACATTGCATTTTCTTGTTAATTTATAAACTTTACATTTTGGCTTACTGTATGCATGATCAGTAGCTTGTATATAATTAATGAAGGGTGATATTTATTACCTTTATATAGGTAATAATAATATTAATATTTATCATATTTTTATTACTTATTTTTAAATGGCCCAATTCCCTGTCACTCCTTTTGTTTCCGTTGAACTTCCCTAGCTCCTCAACTTTATTTTACCAGGTTCCAGTGCCCCGCTGCCCCACTAAGTTTCTTTCTTTCATCTAAGAAATAAACTAGCTTGGCCCTGGCTACAGCTAGAGTGACCTTTTATTCATAAAATAGGTAGTTCTTTGATCTCGATATCACCTGTAACTTGATCAATACCACAATTCCAATTAGTTTGATACTCACCTAAGTAAAAATTATTACCAGTTCTTTACAGTTTTTAAATGGTTGTTATGTTCTATAGCAATATGTAGTACCTAACTCATTCTCAGCTTTCCACAAAGATGTAACAGTCAAGTGGAACTATTGTCACTCATCTGACTTTAAGTGTCTATTCTACATTTTAAAAGTACCTATTCCACATTTAAAAGTATCTAATTTCCTTTTGAACCTCATCCATACATTAAGAAATCAAAACTTTTCTACTTAGTTATTGCTTTATCTCAGTCTGAGCCGGATGTCGACCAAGTGCCCGCCATGTGCTCAGGCAGAGCGCCACGAACTTGAGGGGGTGTGCAGAGGAAGTACAGAAGTGGGAATTATACGTGAATTTAATAACAAGAACTAGAAGGAAGATGTTCATGATTTTGTAGACTATTAGCTTAATGTAAACCAGCCCTGAGTTTGAAAATAAAAAGCTTTTAAAATATGATAGTGATAGAACGTGCCCATATCAAGGACTGAACATAACTAATACATTTTTTAAAGCATATTAAAAACTACAAGGTCTTCAGTTATCAGATACTGGCTCTTAAAAACTTTTAAGCATCTTTCATTTATTTTTAGCTATCATGCCAATGAAGGCAATTATAATCATCTCAATTTTTTTTATTGTGGTAAAATTGATATGCAACATGACATTAGTTTCGGGTGTGCAGCATAGTAACTTGATCTTTGTATATGCTGCCATCACCACAGTCGTTCTTGTTACGTACGGCCTGTCACCGTGCGTGTGACCCCTGCCCTCATCTTGCCCACCTCCTGACCTCCTTCCCCTCTGATACACACCCCTCTCTCCTGTACCTGTGAGTTTTGTTTTGCTTGTTTGTTTTTTAGGTTGTACGTATAAGTTAGATAATATGGTACAGGTATACCTTGGAGATACTGCGGGTTCTACTCCAGGTCACTGCAGTGAAGTGAGCATCTCAGTACAGTGAGTCACATGAACATTTGGTTTCCTAGCACATATAAAAGTTATGTTACAACTGCAGCCTGTTAAGCCTGCAAGTCTGTTATGAGTCATCATCTGTTACTGCCTGAGGGTCTTGACTCCGTATTGATGGCTGCTGACTGATCAGGGAGGCGGTTGCTGACGGCTGAGGTGGCTGCTGAGGTGGCTGCAGCAGTTTCTTAAAATAAGAAGTTTGCCCTGTTGACCGACTCTTCCCTTCCCAAACGATTTCTTCACAGCAGAGACATTTCTCCCGCATTTCTCCCGCAGTAGAACCTCTTCCAGCGTCGGAGTCAGCCCTCTCGAACCCTGCAGCTGCTGCAGCACCTAAGCTCACGTCGTATTCTAAATCCTTTGCTGTCATTTCGGCAATCTTCACAGCATCTTCACCGGGCACAGATTTCATCTCGAGAAACCACTGTCTCTGCCCATCCGTTGTGAGAAGCAGCCCCTCCTCCGTCTGAGTTTTATCGTGAGATTACAGTGATTCAGCCACGTCTTCAGGCTCTCTCAGCTTCTAATTTTAGTTTTCTTGCTGTTTCCACCACATCTGCAGTTTTTCCTCCTCTGAAGTCTCAGACCCCTCAAAGTCATGTGTGAGGGCTGGAGTCGGCCTCCCCCAAATGCCTGTTAGTGCTATTTTTGACCTCTTCCCATGACTCATGAGCGTTCTAATGGCGTCCAGAATGGTGAATCCTTTCCAGAGGTTTTCAATTTACTTTGCCCACATCCATCAGAGGAATCGTGATTTATGGCAGCTATAGCCTTACAAAATTTATTTCTTACATAAGACTTGAAAGTCGAAAGTCTTCCTTGATCCGTGCGCTGCAGAACTTCAAGACGTCTTCCTTTGCGTGCATCCACCACTTGGCTGATGGTCTGGCACCAGAGGCCGGGCGTTTGGCCTCCCTGGCTTTCGGCTGTCAGCATGCCCTCCTCACGGAGCCCCAGCATTTCTGGGTTTTGTTTTAAAGTGAGAGATGATGTGATTCTCTCTTTCACTTGAGCATGTAGAGGCCATTGTAGGGTTACTAATTGGCCTCATTTTGGTATTGCTGCGACTGAGGGAATAGGGAGGCCCTCGAGGAGGGAGAGAGATCGGGGGCGCTGTCAGTGGAGCAGTCAGGACACACACAGCACGGGCTGGTGAGACTCACTGTGTGACGTGAGTCTCACTGTGTGACGTGAGTCTCACTGTGTGACGTGAGTCTCACTGTGTGACATGGGTGCGGGTTGTGGTGGCCCTAAATCATTACAATGGTAACATCGAAGAGGACTGGTCAGACATCACCATAATGAATGTGATCATTCTGAAAAAGTTTGAAATAGTACATGCATCACCAGAAGGTGACACAGAGACGTGAGGTGAGCCCATGCTGTTGGGAAAAGGGCACCGGTGAGCTTGCGCGACACGGGCTGCCACAGACCTCGGCTTTGTGAACGGCCCGGCACCTGTGGGGCACAGCCAGCCGGGTATCTCTGCGTGTCTTTCTCTGCCCGACCGACTTTAAAATGCAGTCATTCCTCTTTATGTCTGCAGCCCCTTACCTAGCCATCGGAGGGACCGGGGGCTGAGGGGTGGGAGCGGTTTGGAGGAAGAGGTGCGGGGTTAGGGCGCATGGCATTGCTGGTGAAACACCTCACAGGCAGCGCGTGAGACTTCGCCTTTCTCAACAGTGGATCCAGCTCCATTCAGGTTCATAACTGCACAGATTGTCACCTCATAATATTTAACTCTGACAGCCAAGTACTGCAGTCATTTGTGTGAGCTCATTTATTCTGGGAGCGGGGTGAAGGTGGCTCGGGAAGGTCACGGTTGAGACAGGAGAATAGAAGGTGTGTCTGTTGTCACTTCATATGTCTAATGACGTCGCCACCTCTCTGCTGAGGGTCACTGACTTGCCTTTCCAGATGCGTAGGGGCGGCTCTGTCCCGTCTCTCTCTAAATGATAACAGTTACAGCATCCTAATCTGCTGGTCCAAGGAGACACTCCGTGCAGCTCTCCGGTGCGGCCCCTGGCTTCCGCGCTGTCGTGCAGCACGCCGCTGCTGGCGCCCCGTGTTACTCAAGGCAGAGCGAAGACGCCGGGTTTTCTGTCCGCACTGGGGCTTCTCTGCACGTTTGGTGGCGAAAAGTCCAAATATTCTCACGGGAGTCGGGCTTAAACACTGAGAGTGAAAAATCTCTTTGGGCAGGATTTTCTTCCCTAGATTTAAAATATGGGGTTTGCTTTTTCCTACCTGTTTTTCCAGTGTAAACATCAACCGTGCTGGGCCATGATGTGTTCGTATGTGGGCTATGTAGTTATCGACAAGATTTTACAGCAGCCACTATCTGAAACTCATCCTGGTTTTTCTATCTGTCTGAATCGATTTGTTTGTCTCATCCGCACCCGCCGCCGCCCCCCCCACCCCCCACCACAGGAGAGCAGGAACTGTCTATTCTTAGTGTTACTGTCAGGGGAAGCGTTTGACAAACAGTTACCGACTGAGAGAGCCATGCTTTGGGGCTGGGGTGGTTTGCCTTCTTACGGTGTTCCCGCATTTCTTTCAGCACTGGAGAGAGGTCTCCTGAAAACCCTGCAGAAACTGGATGACTACCTGAATTCTCCCCTCCCCGACGAGATCGATGAGAATAGTATGGAGGACATTAAGTTTTCCACACGGAAATTTCTGGATGGCAACGAAATGACACTGGCTGATTGCAACCTGTTGCCCAAATTGCACATTGTCAAGGTAGGGCCGTGGGCCGTGGCACCACATTGCCCCAGGCCTGGGCTGATGTGTACTAGGACAGCACCTCCTCTGTGTGGGGACTCTTCCCATCCTCTGACACAGGACCGGGAGCCCCGAGTAGTGTGATTTAATGCCATTTAGCTATAGTTGAAACAGCATAGAGTTAATTAAACGGGGAGTTGCCTTAAAATTGAAGCATATGAGAAAGAGGAATATTATATCTTTCTGTGACTGCATTCAAAGATGTAATAGGTTACTTTGGATTGCAGTTTGCGGCACTGACATGTCATTAAATTCTGTTCCGTGGTCCCCTGGCATCTTCTCTCCACGGCAAAAATGTTTGTTGAGCATTTACCGTGTGAGACACCGCTAGACGGAGGACAGTAGTAAATGCCAGCCGTGCGGTGAAGGTCGAGATCAAGGCGAACAGATCTGAAACAGCAGAGTGTGCGTTTGAAAGGGTCGATGTGCACCCACGGGTTCCCCTCGGCCTTCCTCCGGGGGGCTGCGCGGGGCCACAGTCAGTGTCGCAGGCTGGAGTCTCGGTGTGGTTCGCTGCCCTCGTCACTACTTAAAATGCCAGTCAGAATGAAGGGGCCGTGTCAGTTCAGCCTCCCCTTCTCTGGGGAAATGAATGAGAGAGGTCCAGAGGACATTTAAGCTTTCTTTCAGATAGAAACGGTTCTTAGATTCACAGAATCAGTTTTTCTCAAAATCAGAGACATTCTGGTTAACCTGACAAAGAAATGGTAACTTTTGATCTCTTTGTATTTCAGGTGGTGGCCAAAAAGTACCGCAACTTCGATATTCCGAAAAGGATGGCCGGCATCTGGAGATACTTAACTAACGCCTACAGCAGGGACGAGTTCACCAACACCTGCCCCAGCGATAAGGAGGTGGAGATCGCGTACAGTGACGTGGCCAAAAGACTGACCAAGTAAAAGAGCACTTCCGAGAGAGATGCCTTCACAGCCCATCCTGACTACGAATATGCTTTTCCTAACAGACTGATGCTCTTCCTATAAAGTAGAAATCTTGTTTTGCATGAACATGGCAGTTACTCAAGATTAGGATAAAGGATAGATGAGGTATATAGTAGCTATCTTTAAGCATACACTCCTAAGCAGTATTATTTTAAAATTTTCTGCCCTGCCTACCTCCCCTGCCCCGTATCCTCCTCTCTTCTAATTGGAGCCCCTTCACCACAAACTTTCTACTTCAGAGGTGGTTCGCTGCCTCCTCGAGCCCCCCCCGCCGCCCCCGGGTGCCCATTCACTGTGGCAGGACTGGTGAGGTGCAGCGTTCAACTGCTGGAATAGTAACTGGACCTCATCAGGCAGCCCCAAATCGGTGCATAATGCATGGTACAAGAATATTTATGTATTTTGGGGAATTTTGTAATATTTAGTAAGAGTATACGAAAGGATTGCTACTGTATCAAAACACTGTGCCCTGTTTCAGTTTAGTCTGTCCTGGATATGTGCTAGAGGGAGTCACCGCCAGGGGAGAGAGCCTTCCACCGATGTCACCAGGGGGTTTGCTGTTTCACTTTGTGCGTGGGTTTTCACTTTTCCTGAAAGCATCTATCCATTATACCAGTTACAGCGTCTGACACTATGTAGAAGCTAGAAGTTTAGAGGGAGGGATAACATTCTCAGTCTTTCTTGAGAATTGTATCCATACACGATAAGCCAGTGGGCACCCGATACTCGGTCTGAATGTGGTGTTTGCTCTGTGTGCTTCGCCCAGTGCCGTTCACCGGGAGCGTTACTGCTCTCTTCCTTTATTTTAAAAGGCCCCTTTTTAGGTAAACGTGGACCTTGATGTTTGTAGGTCTTTTGAGCAGCACTACATATGCTGGTATTTAGTTGATTTGGCTTTAGCAGTGCAGTGATTAGCAAGGTAGAAATTAACACAGACATTAACCTAACGGGCGTGGGGTGGGTTTGTCAAACGATCAAGTAGAGTCCTGTTTCTAAAGCACATGTAATGTGAGTAATCTGAAGACTGCATCATCCACCCTGTATTAAAAATAAGATAAAACACACAGATTGGCAGCGTTTCCATCCCATCCCCGTTTGCTGTTAGATGTTGGGTAGAGGGTGGCTCCCTCCTTTGGACTAAATTAGGGTTGTTAGAGTGAGTATGTTCTTACTGCAGTTTTGCCCAATGTCAACCATTGTGTTTCCTTCCGTTACACTTTCCTGCAGCCGGACCGAGGAATAGCACTCTGCGTGTTTGTTGTTTAAATGGAAGTCCCGAACCAGGAGCGACTTGTGCTCTAACGAGGGAGGATGAACTTGGGGAAAATAAAACAAAAGCTTGCCTTGTATTTGTTCATTTTTTTAAATAAAATTAGACCTTCTAAGTATTGCTCCAAAGCAGGGGTTGTGACTAATAATACATTTTTTGGTAATTTTTTATACCTAACTTGTTTAAGAAGTGCTATTTCTCATAGGTTGTTTTTGGAAATTGTAAGTACATTGCTTTAAAACGGCAATGATTTCCTCCCTTTGATATGCTAACATTCAGTAAGCACTGCCTTTGTGGAAGCAGCTGGATTTTTATAAGCATACTGCATATTTTTAACCTATCTCAGTAATTAGCTTAGTGAAGAAAGATAAGAAAAGCTCCATATTGTATCCATTTGGCTCAGGGAGATTTGCTTTACCTTTCTTAAAACTCCTTATTGCTGATCAAAAGTTTGAGCACCCACCTTTTTGCAGTTGAATATCGGAGGCTGATTTATGTGGTCCCGGAAGAAGCACTATCAGGTTATCTACCGAGATACTGTAGCAGCAGCTTCAGTGGGTGCAAAACTCGCATCTGCACCAGGACACAGATGGCCCATCGGCACTTTTCATCTCTCTTTAAGTAGCGGTGACTCGGCATTCAGGTGACACTGGGCCTTGCTTGCCTCGGAGCTCAGAGCGGGGCAAAGAGGCAGAAGAATGGGGAACTAAGGGGTGTGGAGGGGAGGGCTAGTGAGGAAGGGGCAACACTCCTCAAAACAGACAGATGGAAAATACATTCTGAAACTCAATTGTGAAGTAATTTTACCTTGAGTATTTATTCTCTACCTTTAAAAAAAAAGGTATCCCCTCATTCTTTTGCCTGTCCTTCTCGATGTCCAGGAAAGGCAGGTCAGTTAGGATTTCGATGAAGGCAAACTTATTTTTCTGTATAGAAAGACCTTATCAGTTTATCAGGGAAGTTAGTCTGATGGAATTGAGATTAGCAAATGGACAAAAGCCAGAAAATAGGAAGATCCCAGCAAATGCTTTTGTAACCCATCTTATATTTGTAGAAAGTTCATAGCTTAAATCTTAGGAGATTGGGGGATAAAAGTAACCATGGAGTGTGTGGGTCACATCACGGAAATCACCTGACATTATTTCTGCACCTACCGAATCATCTCCCCCTTCATGTAAGCCAGCAAGGAGGCTGGCGTCTGCGTGGAAGCTCCTCTTGTCTCCCAAGGGGTTCTGGGAAGTTTGTATGTGGCAGTCGGAAAGCTCTCTGCTGTTTCAGTTGATGACTTCTTAAAAAAAAAAAAAATGCAAATGCAAATTTCTGTATACAGTTCTGTTATCTTTTACTAGGATTGTTGACTTGTGATAAAATTCATGTAAGATTTTATTTCTTGGTAACTTTGGCTTACACAGTTATCTGTACATCTGTGAGCAGTCTGCATATAACTAAGAGATTTCTGACATTTATTCTTACCCTAAGTTGGTCACCTCTAGAATTTAGGCAGTTTTACTTCTATTGAGTTTTGAATCTCCAGAGTTGCATGTAGATAGCTTTTATTTCTGTGCATTTAAAGTATCCATTTAGAAAATATCTATACGGTAAAAAATGATAAGAAATGGAACTGTATTTTTTCATGAACATTTTGATACAACTTTCACCAAGTTTATTGTCAACCAATTTCTTACACTGGTTATAATTGTATTTGATTCAAAGAGAGGGAAGCATTCACTATTGTTATACTATATGGGCTTTTTTATTCCATTCTTTACAAATTACCAAGATTGGGAGCTGTCAACATTATATTTTTATCACGGAAAAAAATTCCAAGTCCCTAAGTCATAATGCTGAACAGAATTGGAATATTTTCTTTAGAATTACCTGAAAAGGCAAACGAAAGCTTATTATAGAATGCTCGTATTTTCTTTTGTCTCTCTGGAGCCAGTATATTGCTGGCAGCTGTTGTATTAAAATAAAGTATATTTTCACTATCATAAAAAGTTCTTTTTTCTCCCCCCTCATGAAAATAAATAACAACCTGGGGTAAAAGTGGTGTATTCGAGACTACTTTTTTCCACAAGTGGGCGATTCAGCACAATTAATACATTAAAGGAGAAAAACTAGATCATCTCAATAGGTACATAACATAATTCCATAAAAACTGTCATGATGCTCATTCTTAGCAAAACAGGACCAGAGATAAAATTTTTTTTTTAACCTGGTAAAGACATCTGCCAAGAACCTACAGCAAATTTCATATGTAAATATGAAACAAGCCTGCTCATCAAAGTCAGGAATAAGACAGGACTGCCCTCTGTCGCCGCTGTCACCCAGCTGCTTCCCAGAGCTCCTGTGTCAGGTGCCCTCGCTCATGCGGTGAAATCACTGAAGAGAATTGGTCCGTGATTGTTCTTTGCAGATGAATGCATATACATAAAAGAAGTCTAAACCTACTGTTAGAAATCATAAGAAAATTCAGCCACATTACTAGATACAAGAATGAGGAACAAAAACCAATATAACTACTATATATTAATAGTTACCACATCAAAATTAGTAGATAAACTAGTAACATTGGTTTCTCCTGGAGGAAAACTTGCGTGGGAAACTGTCAATGTATACTTTTATTTGTGATAAATGTATTACCCTAAAGAAGTAGAAAGTGCTTTAAAAGAAAACTGAGATAGTTAGGATTAAATGCAATAAAGAATATACAATTCCTTTAGGAAGGAAAATACACAATATTAAAGGACCTGATAGTGATCCGTTCAAGGGGTAGATATGCCCTGTTCTTGGGTGGATAACATAAGGATTTCAGTTCTGTCTCAAGTAATCTGTAAATTGAATATATTTTCCAACAAAATCACAATAGGGTTTTTTCCCTGCAAAAGTAGATAAATGGACTTTAAAAATCCACATGGAAGAATTGTGTCACCAAATAGCTACCATCTCTGGAGTGGGGAGGGGAAGGAAACTCGCCTGGAGTTAGACTTAAAAGCTCCCCTCCCATGAGTAATGGGGAGGAAATCATAGGACCCAGCAACACGACACTCCTGCTGCAACTGCCAGCAACAGAATTAAAACACAATATTTTAACCACCAGAAAACGGAGCAATAGAGACAGTGGGTTGAAATTGCAGAGGAGGAAGTCTTTCTGAGGCGGGCTGGCGGCCTGGCCATTTTCTCCCCGGGGAGGCATTTGCTGCCTCGGCCTGGGACTGAGGTTTGGGTTTGGTCTGTGCAGAGGGGCCCGGCACGGAGAAAAGGAAGTCTCAAGGCTCTTGGTTCATAGGGCGCACGGGGGGCCTGAGACACCCCAAATATGGGACTAATTTCTCACAGGACACTTGCTCAAGTCCAGAGCTGCACGCGGCATGCTAGCAGCTAAGCGAAGGGTTTCCAAAAGGCAGAGTGAAATCTCCCCCAATCTCACAATATTCAGAAGACGAAACTTAATTGGAGGGAGAGACCGTCCCGAAACAGCAGCTGTGTGGGTGCCTGGCAGTGACTGTGGGGACTGACTGCAAACGGAAGGGGGGCTCTTTCGGCAATAACGGAACTGCTCTAAATACGGATTATAGGTAAGGGTCTAGTCTCCAGGCATATATAAAGGATTCATACAACTCAATAATAAAAAGACATCCCAATTAAAAATGAGTAAAGGATTTGAATAGATATTTCTCCAAAGGATATATACAAATGGCTAGTAAGCACATAAGAGACACTTAGCATTATTGGTCAACAGGAACTGTAAATCAAAAGCACAAAGTACACCCTCTAGGATGGCTGTGATCCAGAAGATGGACAATTGTAAGTTTTGGCAATGACATGGAGAAATTAGGACTCTTATCCATGGCTGGTGGCTAATGTAAAATGGTGCAGCTGATTTGGAAGGCAGGTTGGCAGTTCCTCAAAACATTAAACCTATCCAGCAATTCCTCTCCTAGGTTTATGACCAGAATTAAACCAGATTTGGGCTGTTTTATACTAGCCCCCAAATGGAAACA